ACACTCCATAACTTGCGGGGTTCCTCAGGGTTCTATTTAGGACCACTTTTATTTATATTGTACATAAACGACTTATACCTATCAACAAATCTTTTAGACCTAATTTTGTTTGCTGATGATTCAAATCTTTTTTGTTCTCACAGAGATATTAAATCACTTTTTAAAATAGTTAACGAACAGTTATGTAATGTTAGTGCATGGTTCGTAAGTAATAAACTTTCACTAAATGCGGAAAAAACAAAATATATGCTTTTCCATAAAGTAAATAAATCAGAAAATATTCCTCTTAAATTACCAGATCTTAATATTAATAAAACTTATATTAAAAGGGAATCTTACATAAACTTTTTAGGAGTAAAATTGGATGAAAATTTAAAATGGTGTTCACATATAAATAGCATTGAAAAAATAATCTCAAAAAATATTGCAATGATGTTTAGGGCTAAACCCTTTCTAAATATATAATCTCTGAAAAAATTATATTTCGCCTTTATTCACAGTTATTTGTCTTATTGTAATGCTGTGTGGGCTAGTACTAGCCATACAAAACTAAAGAAACTCTACAATAAACAAAAACATGCATGTAGAATAGTATTTGGAGCCGACAGAAATGTTCCTTGCGAACCACTTCTAAGTGTGCTCGGTGCTTTAATGTATATAAACTCACATATATATATATATATATGCGTATAGATATATATATAAAAAGTTTTATTGTTTATGTTTAAAACAAAAAAGGAAATGTCTCCTAAAAAATTTCAATCTTATTTTAATAAAATTAACCATAGATACTCAACAAAGTTTTCAGAAAACAATTTTGTTGTTCCAAAACATAAATTAAAATTAACTTCCTATTCAATTAAATACCGCGGACCTTATCTGTGGAAGAAATTTCCAGATATTGTTAACAAAAAGCAGACTACATTAGAGCAATTTAAGGATGAATCAAAACGATTATTAATGTTCATGGATCTCAATAAATCCGACTTTAAATGTTTATTTTAAAGTAAACACAATAAAAAAAAATAAAAAAAAAACAGATTCAATTATATCAATGATATATGATAATATAAATAAGAAAAGAAAGAAAAAGGAAAGAAAGAAAAAAAAAAAAAAAAAAGAATAAGAAATCCAAGTGATGATGTCACAAGTGATGATGTCATAAGTGATGTTGTTACATATTCATTTAGTGTTAATTATGAGATTTTATTTTTTTAATTTCTTTTATATTCAGGAATTTTTTTTTTTTTTTTTTTTTTTTTTTTTATATTAACTTATTTCTTAAACATTTTAGCAACTGTTAAGCATCTTAACGCTTCTTAATTAATTCTTATTTTTTATTTTTTTTATTATATTTGTTATTTTCTATTTCATTTCTAATTGTTTCTTTTATATATATATTTGTATGTTACGGTTATGTAGAATTTTTAATGGGGCTCGGCGATAAGGCGAAATGCGCCTTCTTCTTGCTCCAGCCACCAATTTAAATAAATGTATATGCAGTGTAAACATTTTTTAACGGCGAAATAAATTACACTAAAAAAAAAAAAAAAAAAAAAAAAAAGGGAGTGCTGCTACATCGACTGACAAATAGCCTGACCAGAGGCGATTCTACAAATGAAATGAGTGGGGGGGGGGGTAACTCCACTTACACACACACACACCATTTTATCACCATTTTATCATTGAATCACCCCCCGTAAAATCCTCCGCTACATCAACTGAGGGTTTGATTTGGGCAGGCAGTCTATCAAATACTAAACTTAAAAAAAGTGAAAGGGTATTAAATATTCCTTATTTATAAATACTCATCACTTTGAGCATATCTCGCAATAAGCTAAAAAATAAAACTATTTTACGCCGCTTAACTGCATTATTACCATTTCTTTAATATATTTTACAATTTGGTTTATATATAGTTTTAGCTTATTTAAAATAATAAACAAAAAAAATTTAGAATATAATTATTTTTTTATATAGATAGCTATATCAAAATCTGTATTTATAGTGTTTGATAAAACTATAAATACCTTCTAATGAAATAAAAATTAAAGGTTTTTGCCTAAAGTTTGTAAAAAGCAAAACAATAATACAAAGTAATAATTACTCTTAATAAACAATATCGTTGAAAAAAAATGCTAATAGTAATCAATACTTTTTTCAAAATTTATTGATATTGCCACCATTTTTACCAAAATAATTGTTTACATTCCATTTCTTTTATAAGGATTTTCATAGTAGAATAAACATTATGTATACAATCTATATTGTCATTGCATATACGTATATACAATGACAATAAACGTTGTATATAGGAAGAAAAAAAGTGTTATACATATTTTATTGTTATATTATGTTACACAAGACAATAATATTGACAGTATATTCTATAACAATAAAAATATATGACTAAATAATAGAATAAGGATTTCAATAGTATGATAATAATAAAAAAGGAATTCAAAAAGAATAACATTTAGTCAAGTTTTCTATTTTAAATGTATAATTTTTCATTTGTTTGGTTGATTATTATTATATTTAATTATTCTTTCTTTATCATTTTTGGCAGCATTTGTTTTTGTTATATGCTTAAAAATATTATATACTTAAAAAAAATTGGTTTCCTAACCAAAACCTGTCTTTTATATATATATATATATATATATATATATATATATATATATATATATATATATATATATATATATATATATATATATATATATATACATATATATATATGTACATATATACATATAAACAAGTACAGGTTTTGGTTAGGAAACCAATAATTTTTAAGTATATAATATTTTTAAGCAAATAACAAAAACATATGCTGCCAAAAATGATAAAGAAAAAATAATTGAATATGATAATAATCAACCAATCAAATGAAAAATTATACATTTAAAATAGAAAACTTGACTAAATGTTATTCTTTTTGAATTCCTTTTCTATTATTATTATACTATTGAAATCCTTATTCTATTATTTAGTCATATACTTTTATTGTCATAGAATATACTGTCAATATTATTGTCTTGTGTAACATAATATAACAATAAAATATGTATAACACTTTTTTTCTTCCTATATACAACGTTTATTGTCATTGTATATACGTATATGCAATGACAATATAGATTGTATACATAATGTATATATATACATATATATATATATATATATATATATATATATATATATATAAACATATATATATATATATATATATATATATATATATATATATATATATATATATATATATATATATATATAATATATATATATATATATATATATATACATATATATATATATATATATACATATATATATATATATACATATATATATAAATATATATATATATATATATATATATATATATATATATATATATATATATATATATATATATATATATAATTATATGTATATATATACATTTATATATATTCATATATATATATATATATATATATATATATATATATATATATATATATATATATATATATATATATATATATATATATATATATATATATATATATATATATATATATATATATATATATATATATATATATATATATATATATATATATATATATATATATATATATACTCATATAGTGTCGCTTTAAGAGCATTTTAATGTAAAAAAAGTCTCTTACGACTACAATTTTAATTACCTCGTCTCTTAAGCTGTTTTTGATTGTCATCGAAATGTCAAAGCAATTAATTTATGCGGAAGTACATTAAATTTAATTGTTTTTTAAAAAATTTTTAAAAAACCGCAATTATAACGACTAGAAAGTTTTTTTTAATTAGTGGTGTTTTTGTTATTGATTTAATGAAAAACATTTTTTAAACATGCGTAAATGTTGCTACATCGACTATCTTATAGCCTTACTCGCAACGGAGTGCTGCTACATCGACTGACAAATAGCCTGACTCGCAACGGAGTGCTGCTACATCGACTGACAAATAGCCTGACTCGCAAGGGAGTGCTGCTACATCGACTGACAAATAGCCTGACTCGCAAGGGAATGCTGCTACATCGACTGAAAAATAGCCTGACTCGCAAGGGAGTGCTGCTACAACGACTGACAAATAGCCTGACTCGCAAGAGAGTGCTGCTACATCGACTGAGGGTTTGGTTTGGCCAGGCAGTCTATCAATTAAAAAAAAAAATTTAATTTTTAAAACTTTTTCTGGTCTGGTTTATTAACGCGCTCTTTAAAACTACAGTTTATGGGAAACTATATATATATATATATATATATATATATATATATATATATATATATATATATATATATATATATATATATATATATATATATATATATATATATATATATATATATATATATATATATATTTAAACATACATTTATATATATATATATATATATATATATATATATATAATATATATATATATATATATATATATATATATATATATATATATATATATACCCAGTGGGCACAGCGACGTTGGATTAACGTTTAAGCGACGTCGAACGCGACGTCGCATTAACGTTGGAAATGGAAAGTTGGATCGACGTTAATAGGCGATGTTATAACGATGTAAGATTTTGATGTTTAGGCGATGTTGTTAACCGATGTAATTTTGACGTCGAATTGCGATGTAATTGCAATGTAAACATTCAATGTAGCTGCGATGTTGTATGCGACGTCGCATCGATGTTGGAAATGGAAAGTTGGATTGATGTTAAAACACGATATTAGCGTGACGTAAAAAAGCGATGTTAGCGAACCATTTATAATTAATGATGTTTTCGAGTTTTGGAAGTTAAAAGTAAAATTCTACTAAATTTTAACTTTCTTTTCAAACTCCAAACTTATATTTTATGCATATTAACGTTTTAGTAACGATTTCTAACGTTTTAGTAACGATTTTTAACTTTTTAGTTTATACTCCAGCTGTAGTCTAACTTCAAATAAAACAAAAAGTTAGAACATAGTTTTGACATTATAATATATAATATAATTTTTAAGTTAACAAGTAATTTACATTTTATGCTTTTATAATTTTAAAGTTTTATACAGAAAACCGCCTTCCACCTGTGGCCTTGTCTGGAGCATAACGTAAAATTTCTTTTACACACTTTATCCCTTCTTCTTTAAAAAACTTTCTATCTTTCATTGCTGCACCTGAAGTAAAAAAAAAAATGCTTGAAACAGTTAATTTATTTTTAATTTATACCAATTGTAAACGCTGACTTAAATAATAATCAAACTGCATACCAAAATAATAATGTTAACATATCGCGACCAGAGAGCTTATTTGTTTTAACTCCATTTGAAAATGTTGGGGAATGACATTAAAGATAAACGTTTTAGACAATAACTTTAATAAATTTAAATTTTAAATTTTGTTGTTTATATAACTATTAAAAACTTTAATATTTTACTACTTATTTATAGAAAATAACAAAAGAAAAATTAAATATGAATTAATGAAAGTTCTTATAGCATACTAAAAGGGGTTAAAACAAATAAGAACTTAGTTTACAATATAAAAACGCTTTTCAAAACTAAAATAATTTATAAAACGTACAGCACACAACTTTGAATATATTAAGACTTTTAAAAGCTTCTTTACTTGGTCTTGGCTCTTTATTTTTTTCGAGGCGATTAGTTCCCCGAAAATTAAACTTGGCCAACACATCATACGTAGTCACACTAAAACAACATATTTCTATTAATATATTTTAATATCAGTAACATAAAAAGGTTGTGAGTCCATAGCACTGTAACAACAAACTTTTCCATAATATTCTTCACAACATCTTTAACATCTTTACCCCCAGCAGCAGAGAGTGATAAAACCTGATAAAATTATAAAATTGAAATAAAACTTAATCACAACATAAACATTTTATTTTATAACATTAAAAATTAAAATCAATTTTCATGTTAGTAGGTATGTTAATTACGGTAAAGTCCCGAAGGCATTATTAAAATACAGACATTTTGTTAAGTATTGATTTTCTCCGGATCTTTATGACAATTATCAATATCATAAATTCAAAAAGTAATTTATTAACTAGTTTATTAAATTCTTCTTCATCTTCTATTTTCTTCTCTAAATTGTGTAACTCAGTCAAATCACATACTGGGGATACTTCTTTAGTACTCCAACTGTTGAAGATGTTAAATTAATTAAAATTTTCTCAATACTTTCAAGCCTTTGACCTTGTTTGATCAAGTATTTCATTACTTTTGCTTGAAATTCTGAAAATATATAATCACAACTTTGAGATAAATAATTTATTATTTTTAATGTGTAATAATTTTAATTTAAAAAGAAGTTCAAAACGAAATAGAATTTTCTTTATTACATTTTATGTAATAAAAAAAATTCATATCCAAAAAACCAAAGACTATTTTTGATTACTTTTTTAAACCAGAAAAATATTTTAAACAAAAATATTCTTTTAACCCATAACAAAAAATACCTGACTCAGTTAAAGGAAACCCTTTAATTGGTAACATAGCTGCATCTTTTCTTATATACCGACTATTAGTTAATTGTTCTTTCTAAATTAATGAAATCAACACCTTTATTGATTTTTATTAAATTAAAATTAATTAACAACTTAATTAAACAAACAAATATTAAATAACAATTGAATAAATTCAAGTATAAAAAAATGATAAAAAAAAAGGTATCCATTATCAATTATAACATCACCAAGATGCAAAAGTCAAAAAAAGCTTAGATTAATAAATAGGAACTTAATCTGGATTTTATATGCATATATACATATATATTTTTATATGCATAATTTAGTGCATATGCACAGTACCTCAGAATAGTTTTGGACTTGTGAACTTCCAGAGGTCTCCTCAAAATGAACCTGAAAAAAAGTCTATTAATAAAATAAAACAATAATAGTATTTTAAACAAAAAGTTCTTTTTGAAAAGGAAGTAATATTTATTTAGTATTGTGCATTGTTTAAATTCAGATGATTGATTTTTACCTCTTCATCATCTGACCATATATTGCTTTTCTACAGTTTGCATATTTTCTAGTCAAAAGCATTAATAATAAAAGTAATTAATAAAAAAAATAAAAGAAATTCATAGCATAACATTATATTGATTATGTTCATAACATTAGAAACTTTAAAGAATAAAATAAAAAAACTACTTAACAGCGCTACTAGTGTTGTTATTGCCTTCGAATAAATCAACTATAAGTCAATCAGTCAAAAGTCAAAATTAGTCGAGTAAATCAACTCCAGATTTATTACTATTTGACTAAAAATTGCTTTAGTCGGGTAATTATCCTAACATTCTTATTTCGATTTTTTTATTTGATTTAACTTTATCAACTATATAAATACATATTTATATTTGATTTAACTTAATATATAACTGTAATATAATTAAAATACAATATTTTTTTATAAAAGTTGTTATTCGAAAAATCAATAAAAAATACATTTATTTAAACTATTGAAAATTTTAACAAGATCTTCAAGATCTTCATTCACATACGTTGTTTATTTTGTTAAATTGAATTTACATACCTTTAACAATTAATGATTGTAAACATGAAAAAAATATATATATAATTAATAAATTGTTTAAATATATATAATTAAAAGTTAAAAACGACTTGATTATTTTTATTACAATTTATTTTGCAATAATTTAGATTAAATAAATTTTTTTTTTGAAATATTTAAACTAAATCAACTTATATCAATTTAGAAATTGTATTAACTAATTTCAGTAGACTTTTTAAAATATATTAGTCGATTTAGATGACAGTAGGATTTTTAGCTCGTAACCACACCAAATATAATTATACAAAATAATTAACTTTTAAATAATCGTTACTTGTTTTTCAGTTTCATTGCTGGAAAAAAAGGCTCTTTTTGATTTTGCCAACTAGGAAAAAAGTTATATATTAATCATCATCATCATCATCATCCTACTTAATAAAAATAAAACTAAGTAGAAATACAACTTATAGCTATACTTTTTTTCAATTACACTTGGTGATATTTCATTCTTTTTCACACTCCATATTTGTTTCTCTAAATGCAAAAATATGTAATGATGATATATATACTCTCTTAAATGTGGATAAGAAAAGAATAAACTGTAATGTAATGTAAACAGTAATCTTTCTAGTAACGTTGTCGTGATAAAAAACTCCTGTTCCATAAAACAGGTTGACGTTGGGTTCCACTTGTACAAATTCATTTAAATTTTTTAAAGTTACTTTTAAATAGAAAAATTAAAACTAGCTAACCCAAGCAAGTGTGTCTGGATTAAATATAAACAAATAACTATGCCATCTCTCCAATGATTGTAAATGATTATTTAATTTATATAAATTAAACAGATAAAAAATTTACATTACCTTTAATTCTAGATGGTGGAGAAGGATATGATAGAGTATTTTGACTGTCATCTACAAATTATAGTAAATACTAACAAAATAGTATATATAGAATATACTTTACACTATAGATTACTGTTAAAATTAATTTGTTATTACCCAATGTGCTAGAAATACTTTCCTATAGCAAAATAACAAAATATTACAAATCTAAAGTTATCTTGTGTGCTAGCAATACAAAATTTATAAGCACATTGGACCAAAATTCAATTTTTATTTTTAAATAATATTTATAAGATAAAGCTAAATTAATTTTTAAGAACTAATAACTTTCTTTTTTTTTTTTGCAATGTTTCAATAAACATTATTAAAAATTACTAAAACAAAAATTACTTGTTTTTTTTATTGGTGAGACACTTTCACCATCTGTAGAAAACCACCCAACATCTGTGCTGCACATTTCAATACAGAAGTCATATATTACTGAATTATAATTAAAAAATTTCAATAAAATGAGGATTTAAAATTATTTGAAATGTAACAAATCAGTAGAATATACAGAAACACAAATAAATAATTAAAAACATATTTAATATATATATATATATATATATATATATATATAATATTATATATATATATATATATATATATATATATATATATATATATATATATATATATATATATATATATGAATATATATATATATATGAATATATATATATATATATATATATGAATATATATATATATATATATATATATATATATTCATATATATATATATATATATATATATATATATATATATATATATATATATATATATATATATATATATATATATATATATATATATATATAATATATATATAAACATATATATATATATATATATAAACATATATATATATATATATATATATATATATATATATATATATATATATATATATATATATATATATATATATATATATATATATATATATATATATATTAAAATTTATATATGTCAACCTAACTTGTTTGTGTATTAGTAAGTTAATATACAAGTTGTCATGAAATATTTTACAACACTCACTAAAGACGTTAACCTTAATTAGTGTAAATTTTTTCCATGAATGATCAGGATCTCTTCTTTCATGAAATGCATGTTTGACTTGAAAATAATTATTAGGTGGCCAAAATATATGGCTTCCAGGAACTAACCAATTGGATGGAATAATACCGGAGGTATCTTCATCTTCATTTTCATTCCAAATAGCCCAACAATATGGCTCTTCTAATGATTTATTCATTTTTTTGTGATGTTGTCAACTATAACAAGGATCTCATTAGTGTGAAAAGTTAAAAAAAAAATAATTATTACTAACTATATATTATTATGTCATAATTTAAAAAAATAACTTTGAAAAATTTTGTAGAAAACTTGAAAAATATTTAAGCAAAATAAAATGCATATATAAGAAAAATAATAATCTATAAAAAATAACAATGAAAATGATTTTAAAAAAGACAAACAAAATAAAATGCAAAAATTATTACCTTTTACTATACTTATGGCTTATATTTGAAAAATGACTTTTTTATAGTGAAACACAAGGAAGTCAAATAGGCAATTATTGCCATGCTAGAATAACGTTGCAACTAAACGAAATGTTGTAATTAAAATGTAATAGTTAAAAACTAGACATTTAATTATGGCATTATTCTAAACATTTACCAGACAAGAAGGAAGTACACTTTTAAAATGTGATGTAAAGTAAATGTAATATAAAATCTAATGTGATGTTAGAGATGATTGGAAATAATTTTTGAAAATTTCAAATTTGAATTTTTTTACAGAAAAAATACAGAAAAAATTGTATTAAAATGCATGTTTATAGAAAATATTATTAAACATGCATTTAATCCAATAGCATTTCTGAAACACACCAATAAGTTGAAAAAAACATCAAAAAATCAAAAGAAAAAAATATCCAAACAAACTTAAGTGACTTTAAATATATTAACATTCCATATTTAAACATTTAAATCCAAGAAACTTAACAAGTTGATAAAAACTACAAAAAAAAAAACTTATTAATATATAATAAAGTGAAATAAGCATCAAAATTTAAATAAAAAAATATTGCTTTCATATTGAAACACTAACAAGTATAAATCCTTGAATAGATAATAAAATTTACGCTTGAACAAAAAAACATAAATTTAAAAATATTAATATATTATTTCACGATTTACTTCAATTAGTATAAAATCATTATCTTGTTCTAAACAAAATAGTTTGTAGCAAATATCAGATAAAATTACAAATTTTCTTTTCATTTTATTGAACTTAGAGATTTTGTATATTCCAAAATCTTACGAGTTACATGGGATGGTAAAAAAATTATCAATAGCATGGAAAGGAATAACTTTGCAATCAAACTCAGTATCTGAAACTATTTCTATGATACGAACAATTTCATTTGATTTCAAAATAAACCAGCCATCACGATCATTTGGAATAATTTTGTCAGTGATAGTCTTAGAGCCATAAGAAACATTACTACTTTCTAACTCACTTAAACGTTTTGCTAATTGAACAAGAGGTTTATTTGCAGTTTTTACAAACTTTTTAACAATTTGAAGAAAATTCTCAAAAGGAAAACTTGAAAGACTGCAATTGTGATAAGAAACATCTTCATGCAAATGAAGCAAAGCATGAACATTATAAGAATAAAACTGACCCATAAAGCCTTTAAAGATTTATTACAAAACAAGACATTAATTTTTTTGCATAATCCAAGTAATGTTGTCGTTTCACTACATTTGAGTTGCTCATTAACGATACTGCAATACTTAAACACAGAAATTTCTGGTAGAAATCTTTTGGCAAAATATCTTTTAAAATTATTGGTCCAGTGTAGAGCAAGAATTGTCGAAACTCGGTTGCTTTAAAGCGCTTAACTTCATCAAGTGAACGTGGTTGTCGTGCAAATTCACTGGGCATTTTGCCATGATAAAAAGCCCGTTTATCAAAAATTAGGTTTTTTTGCTGACATGATAAGCGACATACACGTGGGCCTTCGAGCCAAAATTTTAATAGCCGCTTCATAACACCAAGACAATCACAATGCATATAATCAATAGCAAACTCTTTTACACACAAAATTCCATAATCAACCAAGGGAGTCCTTCCTAACTGATGAGGGTCACAGCAAACATTATTTGTTTCTAATGAATGATTTAAATAAATATATTCTTTAAATTGTTCATCACTGCGCAATTGACAGTTTACTTCTGTAAAAATAACTTTTCCATCATATTCTCTTTCAGTTAAACATCGTTCACATGAATGATACTCTCCATGACCTTTAATATTCTTTAAAAATGAACGAGCAGGTGCATCACAAACAAATCCCTTAATTGAAACAGGCAGAATTTTTCCATTAAATTTAATTCCACTAACTTGAAGCAATCTGAATTCAGTTAAAAAATCACGCAAATAGTCAAATAAATTATCTGGCTTCTTTTTACCACAAAATAGACATAAAATAAATGGTTGTGACTTTGCTAAAATTGGCCAAACTTGTATGCTGCTAATCTTACATAAAGGCAATCCATCAATATTTATTAGCATATCAATTCTCTCAATAACTTTTAGAAAATCCTTCAAAACTTGTTTAATTCCTTTTTTAATACCAAAGTAAATATATTCTCCACCACACAGTACTTTTGTTTTTATATTTCGAGGGGTTTTCAGAAGTGTTTTACAATCATGTGGGAGAGAAGATACTCCATTTTTATTTAAAATACTTAAAAGTTCATTAACGGTCTTCCTTTTGCATTTATTGCGTGTAGCCCATGCAGCTAGATCTCGAGATAGCACATCAGATTCATCATTCGAACTTAATTGACATTTTTCATTGCTTGATGGAACTCTACCAAGCAATAGCGCGTTTCTATTCACATCTTCATTACATGCAGATATATCTGATGCATAATGATAGATAATATTATCATTATTATCATCGCCTGTGACATGCAATTTGTTGTTGTCATTTTCAACATTATCATTAACAATAACATTGTTTTCTGAATCAAAATTCTTAGCTGTATCTTCAATATTGAGCTCCTGCATCAAAGACTTGTTAATTTCTTTGTTTTGATTTCTCCAACGTTTTAAATAAGAGCTCATTTTTAGTAATAGATATTAAACAAAATTTCATAAGCTTAAACGCAGCTTAGACAAATTTTGCAATCTTTAGCGAATGTCAAAGAATGACAACTTGGTGTGACGTCATTTACAGATTAATATTTGAAACGTGGCGCAGTGGTTAGAGTTCTGGCTCAGAACCCAGAGGTCCGAGGTTCGATGCCAGCTCCAGCCCAACAAGCGACATTGGTACGGAAGGAGGCGTGAACTTCCTGTTAAATGCTCACCCGCGGTGCTCAATGATAAGACCGTAAGGACTTCTGGGAGCACCTAAATACAAAAAAAAAAAAAAAAAAAAAAAAGTCTTACGTCGCTTTGATGTTAAGTCAACGTCGCATTTCGATGTTAATTTTTGACGTTATTCTCACGTTGGTGCGATGTTGGTTTTAGGTTGGCGATGTCGCCAACGTAAAACCAACATCGCACCGACGTGAGAATGACGTCAGTGCCTACTGGGTATATATATATATATATATATATATATATATATATATATATATATATATATATATATATATATATATATATATATATATATATATATATATATATATATATATATATATATATATATATATATATAACAAATAATACAAATATTTCAATAGCTTTTAGATATAGAGCATAAGATAAAAACAGAACAATTTCAACTCTCTTTTAACTAATTTAAACTTTAAAGA